CTGCTACTACTGCTGCTGGTACTACTACTTTTTCTACCACCACCACGACCGCCAGTACTACTACCACTACGACTACTACCACTACGACTGTTACCACTACGACTGCTACCACTGCGACTGCTTTGCTGCTATTGCTACTCCTATGTCTACTGCTGTACTGGTGCTCCTGCTACACATGGAGCTCACTAAGAGTTTGGGGCGTAGCTTTTAGGGTGTGGGTATCTTTTTGGGGGGGCATGAACAGTTACCATCACAACTCCAAGACCATTTTCAATTGGCAATCCTGGCCCCTGCGTTCTGGAAGGTTCCCGCATTCTGGATCGCTTCTCTTTTTGCTATGTTAGGCCATATTCCTTTCTTCAGGAGCTTGTACAACCCTGTAAAACCTGTACTGGTATTCTCTAAGCCATGCAGGAGTCTATTCCCTCTTGACGGTCTGCAGGAGTATATTCCTTAAGGACGGGCCGTTGGAGCGTTTCGTCTTCATACGCGCGAAGCCCCGAAACCAAACCTGAGGCCAAAGAGAAGCTGCTGGAGATGAGCGGGAAGGTGCCTTTCGGGTTCTCATAGCGATCGGCTTGGAATAGTTAAAAACAGAGAGCCCTGAATACTTACCAATACTATTTTGGGTTTAGGGTTTAGGGTTTAGGGGGTTCCTTGTTATGAGTATCGTATAATACACCCGCATAATACACCTGCAAAACCCTGTTCTAATGATTAAGGCCTCTACACTATGGGGCTTGGGCTTTGGGTTTAGGGTTTATGGTGGCACAGGGGTCTTTAAGGAGGCCCCCAAAGGAGTAGTACTAATTAATCTGAATTGAATGATTAGCAGTACTATTACTGAGGGTTCCTTATTGGCCACTCTAGTATACAAACTCTTCTGTGGGGTTCTCATGATAAAACACCCCTATTTGCAGGTGCGGAGGTGTGTCATGAGAGTCTTGAAATTGTTTATGGTGTCGTTTAAAGCGACCCCATCTACGCCCTAATCAAGGAGCATACTTTAGATGGCTTTTGGTGGGACTTAGGGTACATTTCTTAAGACCGTCGTCTTGGGCCTGGGGTTCACAGGACATTATTGCCCCTTGATAAACCCGAAGATTCCGCTGGTGTTGTTGTTTAGGCTATAGTGTCTCGGGTTTAGGGTTAGTTCCTATAGGAAGCCACAGGTTCAGCAGTGTTGAATGTTAGGTGTTTAGTAAGTAGGCATTACAGTTGATGTCCCTAAAAACGCTCCAAAAAGTCGCTAGGGTTGAAATTAAAAGCCTGGACAATCACCAGTATTTTGCCTTCGGGCTCCTTATAAAGATCTAGTATGTTATACCGCAGAACCCGAGTCTAACCATTAAGGCCACCCACATTTCCGTTTGATGCTTGGTAAGGGGGGCATGATAGGCTCTGATAGAAAACGGAAGGATCCTACAAATGACTGTAGGGTAAAGCAGGGCATTGGAATAAGCTTTTGGTTTTGGGGTTTGAGCGCATCCGAGTATGCATGTGGCTGGTTCTGTAAATTCGCGTTGCTTTGGAGGTCCTTGTTGATAAGCGTGCAATACTATATTAAGGACCGAATAAAAGGGATCCTAATTTAGAGAACTACCCATGTGAAGCCTTGCGTGACAGAGGCGGATTTGTTGTAGTCGATGTGGTCCCCAGGTCCAACCCTTCGGCGTCGCTTGTGGGGATCTGCCGCCGAAACAAAACCCTAAACCCTAAACCCTAAACCCTAAACCCTAAACCCTAAACCCTAAACCGTGGGCTTTTTTGTGGTCCGCTGCATGCGGAGGACCCATGTGGCCCTACGACTCCTTGAGCCATTGTATGAGTCTGCGTCATGGGATGCTTGCACTGATCGCAACCGGTGCGCCAAACATATCGGACTCTGTGTTTAGGAGCTTTTGTGTTTTTTGGTTCGGGGTTAAGGCTTTTAGGGTGTAAAGTTTCTAGGTTTGGGGTTCGGGGCAGGTGCCACAGCGTGTCTGTACATCCTATACTCATCCCTGTATATGTTCTGCTTAAGGAATACTTCACCATGAAAACCATGCACACCCTAAACCCCAAAGCCCCCAAACCCTAAACCCTAAACCCCAAAACCCTAAACCCCAAAACCCTAAACCCTAAACCCTAAACCCTAAACCCTAAACCGACGAGGTTGAGGCATTCTCCAAGGTGGCGAATGCCGCCGACTTCTCAATGAGCACTGCCCTGGCACAGGAGTGGACGGTGAAGGCTGGGGCTTCCGAAAGTGTACTACTGTCGATGGTATATTTTATAGGGGTTTAGGGTTTAGGGTTTTAGGGGTTTAGGGTTTTAGGGGTTTAGGGGTTTAGGGTTCTAGGGTTTAGGGTTTACGGGTACTACTGTCGATGGTATAAATCCTGCATTAACTTAAGGACCCCCAAACTATGGGAAGTATGTTATACCTTAAGAACCCAAAACCCACTTTCTTGTAGGTTCTTATTATAAACCCTAATACGGGATTTATAGGGACCCTACAAAACAGTAGGTTTTGGGTTCTTAAGGTATTCCTTATTATGGGTAATGCAGGATTTAGATCATGAGTCGTAAGGTTTGGGGTTTTAGGGTTTAGGGTTTCGGGCTTACCCCTGAAACCCTAAACCCTAAACTAGGGTTCGGGGCTTCGTATATTCGCGCCATTGAGTTTTTGAGTGATTTAGGGGTTTCTGGGTTTAGATTCCAGGGTTCAGGGTTTAGGGCGTTTAGGGTTTAGAGGTTTAGGGTTCAGGGCTTATAGTCTAGGGGTCAGGATTGGCGGTAATTAACCGTAAGGTTTTTCAGAAGGAATACATCATGACATGGTAGTAGCCAAGTAGTAGCATACTTATAATGCAAAGCCGCGAGCTGCAAGCCCTACGGCTTGGAGTTTGCAATCTAAACCCTAAACCCTGGAGCATTGAAGATGTCTGCGTGCACCCTAACCTACCAAAACCTAATTTTCTGTAGGGGCTCGATGAGTTCCATATTAGGGCTTACAATAAGAACCTACTTTAGGGTTTAGGGTTTAGGGTTTAGGGTTTAGGGTTTACAATAAGAGCCTACAAGGAAACCGGTTATGGTCGGTTAAGGTATCCTGAATCCCGGACCAGACCGACTTCTAGCATAAAGCCAGAACTCAGAATCCAACACCCTAAATGATTGAGGTGTAGGGTTCATGGCTTAACCCTACAAGCCCAGAATCCCGAACCACAACAGCTCAGACACAACAAACCCACATCCAAACACTCTTATAGAGCCCTAAAAACCTAAACCCTAAACCCTAAATCCCTGACCCTCCAAAGCGCAAAAAAACCGCCCAAACCACCGAACCCCGAATGCCTACACCCTTGGAGCCCCATATTCAGATGCTCATCGTGATCGTCCCGATGGTGGGGGCCCCAGAGGAGGGTTCCACTTGAAGGCTTATTATGGGGTCCCAATAGGAGGTTTGGCGCCTGGGTTTAGCATGTTCGGGTCAGGTTTAGGGTGTAGGGTTGAGGGCCTGGGTTTAGCATGTTCCGGTCAGGGTAGAGGGTTTAGGGCCTGGGTTTAGCATGTTCGGGTCAGGTTTAGGGTTTAGGGTTGAGGGCCTGGGTTTAGCATGTTCCGGTCAGGGTTTAGGGTTTAGGGCCTGGGTTTAGCATGTTCGGGTCAGGGTTTAGGGTTTAGGGTTTAGGGCTTTAGGGTTTTAGGGTTCAGGGGAAAATGATAGTATTGTCCAGTGTTGTAATCTCGGGTATGGGCTTTGGGGTTTGAGACGGAACTGTATTGCAGCACATTTACACCGATGTTCCGCAGGGACGCAAGGAAACACAGAAGCCTGAATCATTACCAATATTATTCCCTAGGACTCCTTAATAAAACTATACTATGAAGGAGCCTAAAACCCTCTTCTAATTATTACGGCCGCTACTATAGAAGCCTATTGTAGATCCCTTGATAAGGATCCCTTTAAAGGAACCCCTATTCTAAAGCATTAAGGCCCCTACATTACTGTTTTTGACCTGGCGGGTAGGATCGGGCAACTTCTACTTGCCCCGAAAAAGAGGACCGGAAGCCGATGTCGCCTAAGCCGGAAAATCCTACACAGTTTAGGGTTTAGGGGTTAGGGTATAAGTATGGGGGTTTGGGTTTAGGTTTTAGGGGTTAGGCTTTAGGGTTAGGGTATAAGTATGGGGGTTTGGGTTTAGGTTTTAGGGGTTAGGCTTTAGGGGTTAGGGTATAAGTATGGGGGTTTGGGTCTAGGTTTTAGGGGTTAGGCTTTAGGG